AGACCTGAAAATTCTATAAACTTTGGTTCTAGTATCAGCCAACAATGTAGACACTAGAAAGAACAAAGCAACAGACTCTTAAACAAGAGAAAGGCACATAAAAACGAGTTTACAACTCAAATATCAATATGATAATTCAAACAACTTTTCCCTTATTTATAGATGCTTAAACCCCCTCTTAATAATTACTGATACATGCATCATAGTTCATGCATCATTACTAGAGTTAATGAACTCATTAATATTAACCCCACTTAATCTACCCCACTAACATATATTTATTACATTAAATAAAGATTGAATATTACATAAAATTCATTACTTCAGAACCCTTGTATTCCATGTATATCGGCTGAATTTCAAAAGCCAAATGTATTGAATCTTCTGATGATCTTATTTCATGTCCTGCATCATTCTCACCTAGTCGGAGAGAATTCGTCCTCGAATTCAAATCACCATCTGCTTTGGAGACAAAATATTGATATCTTCCACTCCAAACAAATAGATACTTTGAATAAATGGGAAACTTTGAATTGCATAAAATATGCTCCACAGCCAAGGTCTTGATCTGGACGTCTTCTCAATAAATCTTCATTTGATTAGTTGTATTTGCAAAGTTCCTTGTAGTACTTGAATTGAAATTACCAACTCCAATCAAATCAATAAATTCAGAACTACCGAACAAGTGAAACGAGCCATGGGACTCGACTTCCATATCTTCAAAGAAAAACTTGAAGTTGTAGCCTTCAACATTTCCAAGGTCCCATCCACTTGGAATTGCATCACAAATTTCACAACCCTCACAACAACGATCAAATATTGAAGGAAGATCTAGATTGAGATCTCCATCTATTGGTAGTTGCGATATGTTGGAGTTGTTACAGCGTCACCCTTGGATCGAGCCAACACTCTGATACCAGCTGATGCATGATGCAACGGATACAAATAAATAAAATCATAGATAGGATTGATAGGTAGGGTCCACTATCTCCTAGTGTAAGGAGAGGCCTGAAAACCCTATAAACTTTGGTTCTAGTACCAGCCTACAATGTAGACACTAGAAAGAACAAAGCAACATACTCTTAAACAAGAGAAAGGCACATAAAAACGAGTTTACAACTCAAATATCAATATGATAATTCAAACAACTTCTCCCCTTTTCTTTACAAATACATGAATATATAGATACTTAAACCCCCTTTTAATAATTACTGATACATGCATCATAGTTCATGCATCATTACTAGAGTTAATGAACTCATTAATATTAACCCCACTTAATCTACCCCACTACATATATTTATTACATTAAATAAAGATTGAATTATTACATAAAATTCATTACTTCAGAACCCTTGTATTCCATGTATATCGTCTGAATTTCAAAAGCCAAATGTATTGTATCTTCCGATGATCTTATTTCATGTCCTGCATCAAAACGGCCCCTAAAAACTTTTCCATCTAAAATTTTTATGTAATATTGCTATATATTTTCATTAGCACTCAATACTCTCATTGTGCACTCCTTATAAGTGTAAATTTGTTTTCTTTCTAAATATAAAAATTTGGAGTACACAATAAGATATTTGAAGTGCCAATAATAACACCCTAAAAACAGTTTTTTCTATTCTATTATATAATAATGTTATATATTCAAGTGAAACTTTGAAGTTAGAGTTTTAAAGAAGCTTTTTTCTTGTTTGGTTGTTCAAGATTGAAGTGCTTTTGATTATTTAGTGAAAGTTATGTTTGTAGCTCTTTTTACTTATTATTTAATGACATTTATACATTTACAATCAGTGAGTCATAAATTTGTTTTGATTTAAGTTATTGCTTTCTAGCATCAATACCTTGTCCTACTTCTTTTTTTGGAAAGCTATTAGAAGGAGGGGTCCATTTAGAAATTTTGCACAGGGCCCTTGAAAAGCCCTGCCACTTGAGAGAGGATCCTTGCCGGATCCTTGTCGAATCCTCCAATCCCTGCCACTCTAGCCCCTTTCTCGCTTAACTTCGGAGTTCCTACGGAACCCGAAGCCAGTGAGCTCCCAAAAGGCCTCGTGCTAGGTAGGGATGGGAATATACATATAAGGATCACTCCCCTGGGTGATGTGGGATGTCACAATCCACCCCCCTTAGGGGCCCGACATCCTCGTCGGCACGCACGCGACCAAGGTTAGGCTCTGATACCAATTTGTCACATCCCGGCTCGGGGATGACCACTTCCTGGGCCCGCTCCACCACCGTAGCACGATATTGTCCGTTTTGGGCTTACCATTCCCTCACGGTTTTGTTTTTGGGAACTCACGAGCAATTTCCCAGTAGGTTACCCATCATAGGATTGCTCTAGCCCCTTTCTCGCTTAACTTCGGAGTTCATACGGAACCCGAAGCCAGTAAGCTCCCGAAAGGCCTCGTGCTAGGTAAGGATGAGAATATACATATAAGGATCACTCCCCTGGGCGATGTGGGATGTCACAATCCACCCCCTTTAAGGGCCCGACGTCCTCGTCCGCACACACGCGACCAGGGTTAGGCTCTGATACCAAATTGTCACATCCCGGCCCGAGACAGATCACTTCCCAGGCCCGCTCCACCACCGTAACACTATATTGTCCGCTTTGGGCTTACCATTCCCTCACAATTTTGTTTTTAAGAACTCACGAGCAACTTCCCAATAGGTCACCCATCATGGGATTGCTCTAGCCCCTTTCTCACTTAACTTCGGAGTTCCTACGGAATTCGAAACCAGTGAGCTCCCAAAAGGCCTCGTGCTAGGTAAGGATGAGAATATACATATAAGCATCACTCCCGTGGGCGATGTGGGATGTCACAATGTACGATGAACAGATGTGATTTGAGGACCCCGAGATCCTCACAAAGAGAATCTGGCGAAGATCCTCAATGTTTCCACTCAACAATGCATGCAACTCTTAACACGCTTCATCTCTCCGATTCATTCATCTCTCGATCTCAACTATTGCTCGTATAAAAAATTTGCACATTTATACAAGGAGGGGGATGTACAAACACAAATTATGCAGATGCTGTTATTCGTGTTGCTGGTGCCAAACCAATTGGTCCTACTGATGTCTTGGTTGCTAAACCTTATGACCTAAAAGTGGGTTTTCTTATGCGCAAATAATTAGGAGGTTTATCAATGTTGAAGGTGATTTGAAACTCATTAATTGTATTTTGTGTTACTTTCTTATTTCTTAGAAAATTAAAATTCTTGTTCATGATATTTTGTATTTAGATTCTACCTTTAATTTTAGGGAGCCTTACTTATAGGTATACAAATATATATCATATTTTACACAACTCCACACCTTTTAAAACATTACATGGAGAGACAAAAAACCCAATAACAGAAAACCAAGCCCAACCCAAAAAGAAACAGACCAACTAAATTACGGCCCATACTCCTCGACTATAATCGTTAATAAACAGCCATGTTAACCACTACACGACAAAAAATCATAAAAACTAACCGGTTTCCCTTTTCCCTTATTCAATACCCGCGGTTTCATCTTCCCCAAACCTATGATTTAAAATTCCTACCACGCAAAAGATACTTCCCCAGGAAAAAAAAAAAAATCCCCTAAAATCTCCATAGTTTCCAACACTTTCAAGCCGAATTTTCAGTAAGTGATTCACAAAGTTCAGCCGAATTTCAAAAAGATCAGTGTTTCAAAGTTTTTCCTACAACTCAAAATCGTCCTTTTGCATGATTATATTTCGAACTTTGTCAAAAACGAATGCATTATCAAAGTTTTGGATGCATTATCAAGTGTTTTTACAAAAGACACTTTTCAAAACTGTAAAAAACACATGCAGTATCAAGTGTTTTTTGCACTTGATTTTATAAAAAATTCAGTGTTCCCGTTCGAGAAAAAACAATTTCAGTGTTTTAGATGTTTCAGTTTCGCTTTTTTAGTTTATATGTAAATTGATTCTTCAACACATCTCATAAAGAAAATGAATATGCGTCTAAATTTTGTGAGTAAAAATATTAACTGTCTAGCTTCGATGCTGCACTTTGAACTAATGATGCACTTTGTACTGATGCTGCACTTTGTATATTAATTATGGTTCTACTTTCTGTTTGTAAATTGGTTATGCACATAAATATGTTGTAGAAAAAGAAAAAAGGAATCTGCATCAAGCTTGTGTTAAAACAATTATGCATCTACATTTTGCGTTAACAACCAATTATGCATCTACCTTGTTTGCTAAGTGATGCTGCATCTACTTGTGTGCTAAGTGATGCTGCATCTACTTGTGCACTAAGTGATGTTGCATCTAACTTGTGCGCTAAGTGATGCTGCATCTAACTTGTATGCTTAGTGATGCTACATCTAGCTTATGTGTCTAGCATCTACCCCTTTGCATCTAGTTTGTCATTTATATAACTTCATATTATTTGATTAAAAATTATTCTCATTATTGTTTCATTTTTTTTATGAAGATGTCGCCAAGAGTAAAACATTATACAACCAAATAGAAATCACCTAAAAATCCTTCTGCCGTGAAGTGTCAGGCAACAGATGATAAGTATGTTCAAATAAGACTGAATCTTATGGCCTTTGAAGAACTATTATAAAAGCTCAAGCCAAAACTTGATGAACAACCAGAAATCTTGGCATTCATATATAAGTCACCTTTTGGCAGACTTGTGAAAGCTTACGTAAAAGGTGAATTGCAAATGAAGAAATCCGAATAGGATGTCATACATATAGCGAACTGGTATGACATTGAAAAAGGATGTTCAAATTCAAAAATGGATATTGTCAAGTAAATGCTGATGATGTCCAACGCATATTCGAGATCCCAAACCGAGGCAGAGAAGCCCCTCAGTCAAGAAGAGACTCAAGAATCCCAAAGCCGAAAGAAAGCAGATTTGTTGATAAATACTTCTCAGAAATGACAAGAATCGGTAGAAGAAAAATTGCACAAGCAATTCAAGTTGCATTTGATGCTGGGACAACTGAAGGGGATCAAGATGCAGCCTACCTTATAATTTTATATTTACTCAATACAAATCTGCTTGGGAGCTCAGCAGGGAAACTCCCTTGGACTTTGGCCAAGAATTACAACTCCATCAATAACATAAATCAGCACAACTGGGCCAAGGAATCAGCAAGATACTTGATGGAATCAATCGATAGAACACATAAGAGAAAAAGAGACAAACAACCAACCATTAGTGACGTTATTGTACTTTTACTGGTAAGTAAACAAAAACTAATTAAAAAAAATCAGTTTTTGTCTTATTTTACAAAAATATACAAATCTCTAACTTTTATTTTGTCTACAGTATTGGATTTGTGATCATAGCACAATCATCAAACCAATATAAGGCAAGGAGAAACGCTTGCAAACAACAGTAAAGTGGGATTTGGCAGTTCTACATGAAAAAATCTATAAAAAAAAAAATGAAAATTTGGACGTAAAGCTGATACTGCATGTACTTTTATGTAAAACATGATTCTACATGTACTTTGTGTGAAAAGATATACAACATTTGTGATTCTGCATGTGCCTGTTGTGTGTTGTTTTCAAACAAAGTATAAAAAAAATATAACTCTTTAACCTTTCACAGATGGACAATGCAAAACCAATTGAGAAGTTAGTTGAACAACGCTTAGAAGATGACGACGACGATGACTTTTTTGATCATCCACCTGCATCAAAAAAAGAGAAAAATGGAAAAGCAAGTAGCTAAGAAAGGACAAAAAGCCAAGGAGCTAAAGCGTAAAAAAAATTTGTGCTTGAACATGAAGATCCTGAAGAAGATGAAACGGTAGTAGGACCTGAGCAAGTTGCCAAGAAGGATGAAACCGTAGTGGCACCTAATGGTCAAAAAGGTGATGTTGATGATGAGATGATTGGCGTTCAACAACAAGATGATAACAATGATGATGAAAGAACTATTCCAGATGTGCCAGAAAAATGCAATGATCAAATAGATGATGAAGATATTCAAATGACACCGGCTGCGTGGAAGATAAAAACACAAAGCCAAGACAAGCTAAAAAGTCAAGACGATGACCCAACAGACAAAATGGTAAATCCAAAAAACAAAAACAAGCTAATTCTGTTTAAAATTTGTTTATATTTTTTATAAAATCATGAGTTTGCCATAAAAAAACATTAAAAATGTCATCAACTGAATGCTTCTGGTATAACTGATGATGTATACTAAGTTTGGTATAACTGATGTTGCATGCTAAATCTGGTATAACTGATGTTGCATGCTAAGTCTGGTATAATTGATGCTGCATACTAATGTTTCATCACTGATGCTGGATACTAATTCTAGTATAAGTAATAATGCATGCTAAAAACTTATATAAGTAATGATGCACATTGAAAAAAATGTAAAAACAATGCTCCATACTAATTATTGTATAACTAAAATAATGAATAATAAAATTTGATTCCTATTCTTGATTCTCCTATAAATGATGACGCATGATTATTCTGCTATAACTTGAAGCTTTGTGATTATAATCCATAACTGATGCTGCATAATTATTCTGCTATAAAACTGAAGCTTTGTCATTATAATTCATAACTGATGCTGCATACTAAATCTTTGTATAAGTAATAATCCATAACTGAAGCTTTATCATTATAATCAATAACTGATAATGCATATTAAATCTTTGTCATTTAATTCTTGATTTTGAATACTATCAGGGGGGAAAGGGTGGAGAACAAAATGAAAATGAATATCACTTTGACACACTGGTTGTGTTCTAGGTGTTGATCATTTATGATGCCTTGATATTCATGTTAGGGAGTTGAAGCGCAGACCTCAAGTGAGTGGGTTTTTTCCTTCTTATAGTGTGTGTGTGTATATATATATATATCTATTTTTTAAATACTATGATATGGTTGAGTTTTAGATTGCATCATGGCATATCCATATGCATATTACCTGTAAATAATTGTTGTGAATGCTTTGAAATGCTAAGGTGAACGAGGGACGAGCGGGTAAGTCCAGGTAAGGTTATGTGGTGGATTGAAATGGTTGAATCAATTTGGCATGCATATGTTCATATAGTGCTCATCATTGCTACACCCCAGTGTTAGTGCTCCCGCCCATGGCCAGGGCACAACCTTCACGTGTATGTTCACCTCCTGCACCGCACGTTCGCCTTGGATCCAAGTAGGTGCTAGCCTGTCGTACAGACTACATTCGGCAGTTCCAACTCGTTGGTGGCTCGCTCATAGCGCCAGCTTCACGTGATCGTAACATTAGAGCGTTTATTATTACACCTAGCATGTCGTATAGGTCACATTAGGTGAGTCCAACTTGTGTGTTAGCATAGTCTGATGAGCAATAAGTGCAATTGTACAGGTCACATTAGGTAACTCCATCTGATATGCCAGTATAGATTACTAAGCACATGATCATATCTATATTACTGTTGAGCTATTCTGCTGTGGTATATTTCTGGACTTACAGTTAGCATGCATTTGATTTTCATACTTATACTTAGTATGATATTTTGGAAACTATACATGTTTTACGGTGATGGGTTTATCGACGAGGATTCTTAGTGAATCTCAATATTGGTGGCTACTTCCGAGGGTATAATCTTTATCCACTCTATTGTACTTTACTTATGCTCTGACGTCACGTGTGAAATTGGTTCATTCCCGCTCACCAGCGCACTCTTATATTTAGGCACTTTTAGGTTTAAATTTATTCACATTTTCCACATCACTACACTTTATGGTTTCGTCACCTTCCAGGTGTCGGCCAGCACAGCTCGATTCAGAGTCCTAGTGGACATATCGGGTCGGGGTGTGTCAGTTTGATAGTCAGAGTATCTTTGGAACCCAAAGTCCAAGATGACCAAAATGTTGCACATGATTCTGCCTATCCAACTGTTGAAAATGAAGAAAGAAATGAGGACATCACAGACATGAACGCGACTAAAATTGATAGGTTGATCAGTAACGTGGTTAATTTCCAAACAAAATAGGTAGTACAAAAAGAGGCTCAAAGTACATCAATTGAAGAATCAATTCCTCTAGTGCAAGAAGTGACAGTGCAAAAGGAGCCTCCAAGTACTTCAATCCAATCATAAGTTCTTGTAGTGCAAGAAGAGATAATGAAAATAGTGGCTCCAAGCACCTCAATTCCTCAAATCCCAGTTCACCTATATGGACAAGAGGCAAATGCAGAATCAGTCCTCCACTACCAGTTCAAGCTAAGGAACAAGAAGGAAATGCAGTATCTGTTCCTCAGCTGCTAGTTCACGCCGAAGAGTCAACAATCAAGACAAGGAAGCAACAAACATTTTATGAATGGCTTCTTGCTTCATTACGAGTGAAGAAAAATGAGAATGTGAAAATTTAGAAGAGGAATTATCATACGAAGAACTTCCTCAAAGCTAAATAGATCTTACAGAGTACTGGAAAATGAGGGCAAAACTTCGACTTTAGATGTTGAATAATGCTATCAACACATGCCACTTCAAGAATTTTGTTATTGAGAAAATTGTTGAAAAGAATGATGCTTTGCAAAACAATAATAAGAACTTGCAAAAAAAAAAACAAGAAGTTGGAAAAAGAGAATAAAAAAAATTAGAAAAACAAAAAAGTGAACTCAAGAAGAAGAACACTGCATTGGGGTAGCAAAAGAAAAAAATGGAAAGAAGAAAAGAATGAGTTGCAAGAAAAGAACAAGGGATTGTTGAAGGAGAAGAATGACCTTGAATGGTAGCAAGAAAAGTCCTACAAGAAGCATTGTGAACTAAATGCAATAAACAAAAAAAAAAGAAAATGGAAAAAATAAGAGAGAAATTTCAAATTCTAAAAGTTGAGAAGATTTCTCTAGAAAAATTGGTGAAGAAGCAACAAGAAGAAATTTATCAGCTAAACAAGATCTTGGGTTTCATCAATGAGGTTGAAACAGAAAAAGAAGAGAAAACTGATAAACCTGTTCATCAAGATTCTGCTACTAATTCTGCTACTGATTCTGCAACTGAAAGCGAAGCTGTTAAAACTGGGGACAATATCGTAATCGCCTCTAATCACGAGGTAGATATCTAGTCAAAACAGGTTATGCAAACTCCAGAAAAAGTACCAATAGAATCTCAAATACCTGTTCAACCTCAAACTTGAACAATGGTCAAACGCATCAAGCAAAAAGCGAAAAAAAAAAAAAAAAAAAAAAAAAAAAAAAGGGATATGCATTTCTATTACAGTGTCATGGAGAAAACAAGAGAATCAAATGAGTGAAAAGGCTATCTAGCATACTTTCTCCTACCCACAATGGACAAAAAATTCATCAACATTTTCTGGGAAAAAGCACCAGTGTAAAAAAAATTTACAACTAATCTATAATTTCTGTTTTACTTTAAAATACTGATTCTGCATTAACATATTTCTATGTATATTGTATTTCAAGGACATATATTGGTCATCAACTGCAAATGAGTTCAGCTACTATGACAATATTGTGATGAAATAAGATATGGATGGATTCCTTAGAGATGACAGAGTTACAAATACTGTGATTGATGTACACAACTACATTTTCAGGATCAAGAAAGCAATTTGGATCATAAAAAATTCTACTTCTCGGTCAATCTCTTTGTAAGTTATAAATATTAAATTTAGATAAAATCTATTCAATTTCATTGAAACTACATATTGATACTGCATATTGATGTTTCATACACATGTCCACACTGATGATTCATACTAATTATGTTCTGGATAAACAAATGAATTTCATCAACTATGAAAATGACGAAGCCAAGATGAAAGAATTAAAGCACAGTTTAGGGGAAGAATCAAACGAACAAATGGGAGTTGTGTGAAAAATCTTTATACTTCTTCTAAATCACGAACACTACACATTGCTTGTGTTTGACACAGCAGAGAAGCATTTCAATTTTTACAACTCTAAAAGAAAAAACCTCCAAGAATGTGAAACAAACATGCACAATGACAAAGCATATAAAGTGGTAAATCAAAATTCATTTTCACTTACATTTTTAGTGATTTCCTAGTACATTTTTCAAAAATACGCTTAAAATGTATACAGGTCAAAATGGTTGAAGAATGGTACAATAACAGAGACAGATTATTCCATTTTCCAATGAATGAAAGGGAAAGTTCAACAAACAACTACATCCGAATGAGCCCTTCAAATGCAACTTTTGAGATGGATGAAGATAAACAATGTCCAATCCAGCTTGAATCGTAAGTATAATTGTGTATTTTGATTGTTTTAATTGAATTACTGTTCTTGGTTACATATTTAAGGTTAAACTAATTTTTGCGATGAATAAGATAGTAAAATGATTTTGACTAAATATTAATGTTGTTGGAATCCTTAAAATTTGTTGATTATGAATAAATGTTCAGTGATAAAATGATTGTAAACCAATCATTAGATTCCATATAAAAATACTAATTTTGCATACTGAATGAGTCTACTATAACTGATGATGTCTGCTTTAACGGATACTGCATGCTAATTCTATTCTTTCATAACTGATGATGCATCAGTCTGCTTTAATTGATGCTGCATCAGCCTGCTTTAACTGATGTTGCATCAATCTAATTTAACTGATGCTAAATGTTAATTATGCAAACTTATTTTACAGAGATGATTGTGATGTATTCGTACTGTACTACATCTGAACAATAGCAAAAGGCAGAAAAATGAAAAAGTATTTAACCAAGCAGGAAGTCAACTATGTGCGTCGTGATATTGCATCTCAAATAATACATTAAAGATTGAGCTGGAGCATGAAGTTTAAGGAGCAAAAATAAGCAGCTGAAGTAAAGGACAAACAAAAGCTATCTTGAACCAAAAATTGGT